TTCAAAACAAAGTGCACAACGGAAATACTCTTCAAATTAAGAGTGGATTGCTGTAGAATACAAGAACTTATAGAGTATGGCACACTAGTACTCTCCAAAACTCAAGCAAATATTGATTTCTTGAAGAATTGCTTGGAAGTAAAGTTGAAGGATCAAAAGTATGAATTGAATTGCTTGGATTGGTAGAAGAATATGTTTGAATGGATATAAATAATGTTCTTCAAGCAAAAGAGCCGTTGAAAAGGAGTTTTGGAATATAGGGATGGATAACTTCCTTAAAAACTGACAAATCTGCAGTTCAAACTGACGACTTATTTGAATAAAATCATATTTATTCAAAAAGGTCAGAGCGAAAAACGCAGACTTATTTGAATAAATTAAGGTTTATTCGACTAAATCACTATAGGATTGAAGAAATGAAATTCAGGACTTATTCGAATAAACTTCTAATTATCCGAATAAGACAGAACTGAGAACTCTGACTTATTCGAGTAAAACAAGAGTTATCCGAATAGTTTTCACAGTTTTGAAAATGTGATTTTGCAACTGACTCAAAAACAATTAGAAGGGTTTTTGGAAAACACTTTTAAAGAGGAAAAACAACTAACGTGCCATACACTTTAACAAAAAATGCTAAGACCTAAACGAAAAACAAATACTCTATATCTTCACACTTGTCTTTGAGATCCAATCGCATGATTGTGAAGATCAACATCCAAAGTGCCAAGCCTATGAAATAGTTGTCATTATCAAAACACAAGGGTCAACAGTTTTGGTAATGTCGAATGCTATGGACCTGTTTTCATTAAAGAAACACCGGTTTTCTAGGGTTATCCTCAAGCTTTGTGTTTGACTTGACATTTTAATTGATTATGTTATTGTATGCTATTTTTGTTCAACATTTATTTTCACTTGATTTAGAAATATAGTGTACAAGGAAGTCTTTCAAAACCTTTAATTGCATTTTTTAGTCTTCAGACTCTTCACAATACATTTCTCAATATTAGTATATAATACTTTTAATATTTATATTGAATACAATTTCGTTGTGTTGTTTTTATATATATACACTATAAATTTATTTTTTATTTTCTTTCACTAACTCAAAATACTGTTCGTGCAATGCACGGGTTAGAGAACTAGTTGACTTAAATAGAGTACTCTCTCCATTCTTTTTAAATGTTTGGTTCGTTTTTCGAATCTAATGTTTGACCTACGGTATCTACTAAAATATATTAGAAAGAAGTATTAAAAATGATACATTCAAAGTAATTTTCGATACCAATAATTTAACATAATTTTAATATTTTAATTCATAATACATTATTATGTATAATTAATCAAACGGTTCACATACAAAGGGTAACTAATATTTAAATAAGAATGGAGAGAGTATGTATTTATAATTAATAATAAAGTAAATTTCCAAAATAGTCTTTTATAATAAGGTGTTTTTTTAAATTAGTCCTCAATAAGTTTTTAATTACTTATGTGGTCCTCTATAATTGAGATTTATTCCAAAGATAGTCCTTTGTAAATAATGTTACTCAAATGAGGATTAATTGAAGGTATTTTGGTATTTTTTATCCGCTAAGTTTAGAATTAATTCTTAAAATAATCAATATAAAGAAGTGCTTTCCCAAAATTGTTTTTTCTAACTAAAGATGTGTATTTGATTTGAAATTTAAAAGATTTTATTATAAGTTTTAAATAGTTCATGAATTATTTATAGTAAATGTATTTTTTAAATTTTACATGTAGTTGTATAGAAATAACTGTTTTGAGAATATATTTTTAATTTGGATGATCAAAATACTAAAATATCTTCCAACTAATCATCATTTGAATAATATTATTTACGAAGGACTCTCTTGGAAATAAATCTTAATTATAGAGGACAATGTAAATAATTAAAACGTATTAATGACTAAATTGGGAGAATACTTTATTACAAAGGACCATTTTGGAAACTTATTCTTAATAATAAAAACACAATTATTATTAAAGGATGAATATATTAATGATCGCATGAATTTTAGGAGAAGATAATCAATCTCGCATAAGACTCCATTAATTATTAGTATGGGGTCCACTACTCCGGTCAAATGGAGATTGTTCGTCGTTTTAAAGTAGATTAATAATTGTTCGTCTTTTAAAAGTAGATTAATAAATTCATTTTCTGAATGCACTTGATTATTCATATACTCCGGTCAAATGGAGATTGTGCAGATAGAATATAAAATTAAATAGATATGGAGACTGGAGTACACTACTCCTAGAGTGATGTGAGAAAAACCAGAGTAGGACTAAAATATTGAAAATATACTAAAATAAAACTTCCATGTTTTTTTCTCGAAATAGGACTTACATTACCACACATGGTTATATACATTACCAAAAAAATATAGTAATGTGCACATGTACACTGCCACATTACCACAGGGCAAAGTCAAATTACCACCGTGCAAAGTCTTATTTCGGGGAAAAAACATGAAAGTCCTATTTTGGTACTCTTCTCTATGTTTTAGTCCTACTTAAGGTGATTTCTATAGAGTGATAGGGAGTAACGGTCTATATTTTGACTAGAAATTAAAAAAAATACCCTAAATAGAAATAAAATATAGAGAAAGTATGAAAATATGAATTTTATATTTTATCTCAAAATAAAATATGTCAGTTATATTTTTTATTTATGTCTCAATCTTTAAATAAAATGAATTTAAAAAAATTTGAGATTTTTTTTCCATCTATGTGACTTGTATAATGTCCATTAGTTGTTTACTACTCCGTAATTGAGTAGTTGTTTGATCTTGTAATATAGCCACTTTTGGCTTGTACGTAAAAATTCTGTTTTGATTATCAATCTATTGTTTTCGTGGGGGCGTACGGCGGGGTTGGGGTAAGGGTGCAGGACCAGGGGTAGAGTGCGGGGTAAGGGGGGTTTTAAGGGGTGGGTTAAGGGGTACGAATCTTCAATTTTACAAACGGAGCACTGTAAGTGCCCCAAAATGACAATGGCACTAGAGTGTCACCGTACTCCAGTATCACTAATAAATAGATCACAATTTGTTCAAAAAATAATAATAAAACATAGTTTGTTTAATACTTCTTCATATCGTTGAACGAGCATCCAATTCGCATTGTCTGCCCTTGAAATTAAAATTCACTAGTGTCAACCCCGTGCGAAGCACGGGCTCGTAGACATTATAAACTTTTGACATTCTATAAATATAATTTTATTTATTTTAAATGAATATTTTTTCACTCTAAGATATACGGAGTATATTTTTTTAAATAAAAAGTATACTTTAAATATTGATGTGCATGCACTAAAAGTTCTATAACTATTTTATTAAAAAATATTACATTAAATAAAACATAAAAATGCCAAAAATAATTTAATATCTTTGGAGGTGAAATAATGTTTTTTCATTTTTTGAAAGTGAAATATTTTTAAATTAATAATTGAGAGTCTTATACATACTCTTTTTAAAATTTTGCAATCAATATGCATGTTTAAAATATGGAGTATATTTTACAATAGTGAAATATACATTTATAGAGTCGTTAGAAAATGTTAAAGTTTTATACAAAATATAATCAAAGTAATGTTTATTCATGCTAAAAAATAATATTCATTTAATATAATAATACAATAAAATATATTAAAAGATTTTAAAAAAGTAGCTTAAAGAACCAATGAAATTCCTCCATCTCATAATTAGTGTACATGTGGATGCACATGTGGCATGCCACATGTCAACACGACAACCAAGAAACTCAACTTTACATATGGAGTATGTAGGAAGGATATATAGGATATGATGTTTTACCCAAGTAAATTCACAACTGCATAAAATATTCCATCACACAAAAATCACTAACCTTTACTTGGATTGCAGTTTTTATAAAAATATTAATTTTATTTTCTATTATCTACTTTTAAATAAACAATACAAAAAACGTATATTTGTAGAAAAACAATTCATAAATAAAACATGATACTCAAAAGATAACATGTAAATATATAATCTGTTTCAAAAAAAATATAGAGTATTTTAAAATTTATTTTAATTTTAATGAGTATTACACTTAAAGAAATAACTTTAAAAAGAAGTACTCCCTCCGTCCCACAAAACCCTTCTCCTTTCTTTTTTACATCCGTCCAAAAAAACCCTTCCCTTTTGCTACTCCCTCCGTCCTAAAACTTTCTTCTCAGTTTGAATTTTCCCCATTTTTAATTTTTGGCTTTGACTTCAAATTTTACCCTCCTTAAAAAAGATTTTTTGAAATTTTTTTTTACAATCATTCAAAATATAGAGTTAGAAGATAATTGGTGTAAATACATGAGGGTATTAATGTCATTTGTCATCTTTTTTTTCTAATGGGAAGGTAGTTTTAGGACGGAGAAAAAGGGAAAGTGGGAAGAAAGTTTTAGGACGGAGGGAGTATTAAAAAGTTACTTTTACCCCTAATACTTCTTAACCTACATATCAGATCATACTTTTTTGTATTAATCTACTCATCACATCCTACTTTATCCATTACATCAAAAGACATTTTTGGAAAGTCAATACCAAAATACACTCTCCTTAAATTCTTTAAAATTCAAAATGTAAAGCTTTTTCCTGGACGAAGGGAGTAAAACATAACTCTTACGGAGGTATATTATATCTCCAAAACAAAAGTAATACGTAGTATGTTTTTATCTCCAAAATATGCATGTTGCACTATGACATTGTATAGTATATCAACATTTGACATTGTTTTTTGATATTATATGGTGATATTAAATGTCCTATTTTGGTATAAAATTATAATGTCGTTTTTTATCTTCTTCTTTGGGAAAAAGACTCAAGTGTGAGTAAAACATTGAAAATATTCTAAAATAAGAGTTATATGTTTCTATTTTCAAAATAGGAGTTCTATGTTTCTATTTCCAAAATAGGAGTTAAGATATATTCATATTACCAATTATAACTATGTACATTATGTAAGATGTACATATATAGTGTCAAGTTAGGACATTATGAGTTCTATGTCGCCGTAGTCGCACTTCTTAAGATGCAAAACTAGTCATTTAAAGGTGTAACACTTTTTCTAATCCTTATTCATCCTCAAAAGTGGGACGCGATTCAAAATGAAGAGAAGTTTCAAGATAGCGGATTTGTTAGTTCTCCTCATCGTTGCACTTTCATATGGTATTCACATCACCAGTTCACATGTTTTAGATTGATTTCTCCCTTGATATCGATATAATTTTTATCTTCACCAATTCACATGTTTTACATTGATTTCTCATTCCTTATTGAAATACCTGCTGTTAGACAGAATTGGATAATAGAATCTACATGTTTTTCATTGATTTCTACTTTCGTATTGACATAAGTGAAATTTGCAGTAAATATGACTAAAACATAATGACTTTCCTAATGTAGGATTTAAACTTTTTTATTCCCTAAATAGGACTTAATAATGACCTAGTGGAAGGAATAATGTCTAGTAATGATGAACATTTAGTTGAATAATGACTACTTGATAATGACCAACGGTCCTATATTGAGAAATAAAAACATATGGTCCTATATTAGGAAAGTCATTATGTTTTAGTCTTAATTAGGTAAATTTCTCTTGAAATAATTGTTAGAGAGAATTGATTAATAGAATTATTTTGAGTTTAAGTGTTATTTCTTTGTGAATTCTTTATAAGTGCATGTTTTTTCTACAAATTTGATTTCTAAAATGTACAATGAAAGAGTTAAAGTGATTTCACAATTGTTTAAAATAATCTTCTTAGATGTAACATTTATGTCAAATTATCTTCTACTCCCACCATCTCACAAAAAGATTTTAGACTTCTTTTTTGGATATCCACTTTTAGAAAAGTTTTATAGCTCATATATATACAATTTTTTTCCATTAACACTTTAAACTACATAAGGAGTATATTTTCAACCCAAGTCAAGCGTAGAACCTTTACGGGACAAAAGGAGTATATTTTTCTCTTCTCTTAAAATTCAAAGAATTTCTCTTTGCTTGAACCGCGATGTCTAAAATTAAACTTTATAAAAAAAGGAAAAAATAACTTGGAAGACATGACGGCTCAAAACTTCTTCTAACACCTCACTTTACAAGAAGACGGCATTGAATCATTGATGAGCTTGTTTTTTTTTAAGTTTCATTAAAGACACTACTCAACCAAAAGAAAATTTTGGGATTTCAACTTTCAAGAGGAGTTAAGAAAATATAGAAGATAACTTGAAATATTAATGCATGTGAAGGGTATTTTAGACAATTAACTTGTCATTTATTACTTAAAATCAACTCATAGTTTCACCATAAGGGTGTACCTTCAACCTACTTGAAAAATCAAACATGAAGATCATGCATCATTTTTAAAAGTTTGGAGTATATGAACTACTTCTATAAGTTTAGAGGAAACATGCACTTTTCTATAAGTTTAGAGGAAAACATGCACTTTATAAAGAGTTCGGGAGGAAATGATGCTAAAAATTAGATTTATTTTAGGTTTAAATATGTTTTCAGTCCCTGTAAAATTGGCGACTTTTGTTTTTGGTCTTTGTAATTTTTTTTGTTAAGTCTTCCTTACAAATGTTTTAATTTTATTTTGAAATGGTCTTTAAACATAACTTCTACTTCTAATTTATTGAAATAACACATCTTGCATTTCTTCAACATCCAACACTATTATCATGCCCTATATTGTGTCTTTATTCATATTACATCTCTAATAAACAAATACGGAGTATGTCAGGAATATAATATAACATAATTTGGAAATTAAAGACTTAATTCGATGAAGGACACAATCTATATTATGAGAATTGTAGCTAAGGTAATTAGAAATTCCAGATTAAATTGTTAAGTAGGAAATATATAAATGTGTTATGTGAACAAATTAGAAGTGGATGCTAACTAAGCTTAAGAACCATTTTCAAAATAAAACTTTTTGTAAGGATGATTTAACAAAAAAAATTTATAGAAATCATCCTAAATAGGACTAAAACATAGTGAAAAATATCAAAATAGGACTTTCATGTTTTTTTTCCGAAATAGGACTTTGCATTGTGGTAATGTGACTTTGCATTATGGTAATGTGGCAGTGTACATGTGCAAATTACTATACTTTCTTGGTAATGTATATGACCATGTTTGGTAATGTAAGTCCTATTTCGGGAATAAAAACATGGAAGTCCTATTTTGATATATTTTCAATGTTTTAGTCCTACTTTGGTCTTTCTCCCAAAAATTTACAAGGATCAAAAACAAAAGTTCTCTTATTTACAGCGACTAAAAATATATTTAATTTTTTTTAATATGATAAAAAATTTATACGGATGTAAGGGTTGTTTGGAAATAGCGTTAGAGATTAGCGTTAGCGTTTTGGATAAAATTTCAACGGTGCAGATTACTTTGAAAATGCTAACGCTAAACGCCGGCCGTAGATAGCCTTTTCAAAACGCTAACGCTAATCTCTAAAGCTATTCCCAAACAAGCCCGTAATCACGTTCAAATTCATTTAATTTTCACTCTATGAAAAAAGAAACAATTAGGTAGTTAGTTATAAGCGGAGGAAATTATTATTATTATTATTATTATTATTATTATTTGGAAAACCTATTGAGATTATTATTAAAATGTCTATTTGCAAATTCAAAAGTGAAATTTGCACTAAATAGTACTAAGAAAACATATGTGATTTCCGAATGTAGTTCTTAAACTTTTTTATTTTCTAAATAGTACTAGAATAATGTCTAGTAGTTGGAATAATGTTCAGTGATCATGGACATTTAGATTGAACAATGTCCAATGACGGTAACACTTATTTGAACAATGACCAATGGACAATGACCTGTGGTACTACATTGGGATATAAAAACATATGGTACGGAGTACTACATTAGGAAATGCACTATGTTTTAGTACCATTGAAATAAATTCCCCAATTCAAAATACTCTTGTTTTTCTTTTAATTTATTTATTTCGTAGATGCTGGAGTTGTGTATAGGGTTGGTGGGGCGATATGCTCTTCTTTCACGGGCACAAACCAATGCAACTTTGGACCGGACAATGGGTGTTTCCAATTGTGCACCATAGCACTGAAGAGACCCATTGTGGATGCAAATTGTGTAATCGATGGGGATGGCACAACCTCCTGTCAATGCAAATTCAATTGCTAGTTTTATTTTCTTATAATGAAAATGGAGTTCAGTCGGATGATAGCAGTATAGCATGCATTTTTGTGTTATCAACTAAATAAGGACATACTCCGTATTACTATATGTTTCACTTTCTCTTACATTCTTGAGTCCCTATAATTTTCATTTATTTTATTTTGTTCTTATTGGATATTTTTATTTACAAAAATAAAGCTCAAATTTTAAAGAGCAGTTAAGTGTTCTTAAAATAAATTAAACCCCCAATACTATTGGGAGAGTAAATAGCGTGGCATGAACATGTTGAAAAATAATCTCGCAAATGAAAATGGCAGGAAAAAATAAATACCCCGTAGTATAAGAGGACACAAATATTTTTATATTGATTAACCACAACGTGTGGGACCCGCGAACGACTCTCTCGATATTCCAGTACCTCCGTTAAGCTTACAAGTTCTTAAGAATGATGGGAATTAAGAAGAGAATACAACCACACCAAAAACTAATTCCCCACTTGCAAGAGTAAGAGGAGCAAAAACAGCAACAAGCTAATAGCAAATAAGCACAAACAATAAAGACACGATGCACCAGAATTTTTACGTGGAAAACCCCTCATTCCCTTTGTTGTGGTTTGTTTTTAAAAAAAATTCATTCCCTTTCCCTATTTTTAAGTTTTGGATTACCCATTTCAGGATTTTCCCATTCCCCCGCTTATACCCGGGTTTCCTCTCATTCCTTACCTTTCCTTACCTGCGATTCCCCCCACCCCTGTTTCTTCTTCGCCAGGCTCCGCTTCTTCTTCCCCAGTCGCCGCCACTCACACCTGGAGCTGCAACTCCATCCGTCGCCGCAGGTAAGTTCTCCCCCTCCCNTTGTAACAAAAGTTTTTACAAATTTTTTACAAATATTTTTACAGATTCTATTACAAATTTTTTACAAATTTTTTTCAAATTTTTTAGAATTAAATTGAAACCCCTCAAGTTTTGTTGCAAAAAAAAAATGTTGCCAAAAACAACACAAACAACCCCAATGATGATGATGATCTTCCTCAAATCTGAAAGTTTTTTTTAAAAATTTGAACAGGAATGGTTCGATCTGGTCTCTCTTTGGGTTACTGAAAGGGCGTTGGGGTATTCTTAGAAGCCCTACTTGGTTTAACCTACAAACACATAGTCGCATGGTTTTGGCTTGTGCTTTATTACATAACTTGATTACAAGATACATGCCATCTCGACCTGGTGATGATGAAGAGATATTTGAACATGATGATGGAGATAGTGATGATGAAGTCGAGTACATAACCTCAATTGATACATCAGATCCATGGACTAATTTCCGAAATGCATTGGCTCAGAACATGTTCAACACTTGGAGAACTAGATCCCATAGACTCTAAAAATTTGTGATTTTTTGTTTTGTTTTTGAAGTTTTAGACGGGTAATATTTTTTGAAATGAACGTATCATCTTGAAAGTATGTTGTGATGTGTGAATTTTGTTTAATTGTATCTTTGATAAAATACATAAGTATTATTTTAAACCAATTGATCATAGATGTGTAAAAAAATTTGATTCCCTTGTTTTGAACCAAACACAAACAAAGGGAATTCTATTCCCTTTCCTGCACTGAACCAAACAGACAGAGTAATTCAGGGGTAATCATTCCCTTTCCCCCTGATTCCCTTTCCTGTTTCCTTTCCCTTTCCTGCACCAAACGCCTCCTTAGTTCTTTTTTTTTCTCCACATTTATAAGTGTAGTTATTATACATTAACTAATCACCACTTTTACTAAGTGTTGGCAAAGACTTTTTGCATGACACATCAATTCAAGTGTCGCAAAACATTAAAAAAAATTTAATACTACAAAAAAAAAGTTCATCTATTAACCCAAAATTCTCCATACCGCTATTTGTTTTAATTTCCCGCACATTAATTCATTTTAGGCGGAGATTATTTTTTTCACGCCTAATTTACTGGGAACCATTAACCTAATTCTAATAATCCATCAACTGGTTCCAGTTCTCGATCTACGTCCCGCATCTACCTCTTCGTTCCTCAATCATCGATCTGTGCTCGCCGTCGTTCATCTTCCTCTTATGCCTATTGTCTTCGTTGAAGCTTTAATTGTTTGAGGTAATTGTTTCTTTTTTTATTTGCTGGAACTAGTTTGTTGATTTTTTGCTATCTGCTTCCCGAGTATTCAATTCCCCATTATTCAATTCTAAAGTATATTATTTGGTGTAAGGACTTTTGTATTGCGTTGAATAGAACTTCAATTCAATTCTTATTGGCATGTAGGTTTGCATCCATGGATTTACTTTAGATTGTATAAAAACAGTTAATACTCGGTGCTCTGAAACTTCTTTTTAATTTATTCTTGAAAACGGAGGATTAATTCAGTTAAATTTTGGATAGCAATTCTTATTTGGAGTTTGGTCTAGTTTTCCTCTCCAAGAACTAAATATTTCATACTTTCATGTTCAGTTTTGGATCAATGTGGACGGTTAGGGTTTGATTTCCTTTGAAGTTGTGTTTTGAAAAATTGATTTAAGATAGGATTTTGAAAAATGCAGCTTCTAGTTTTTGGCCTGGTTAATGTTAAAAAACAGATTATCAAGTTCTTCACATCTATTTTTTTGTTTGATTTCCTTTTATTAGACCTAAATTAAAACACACGAACAGTAGGCATCACAAGCTCTTCAAAAAAGGTATCTAAGATTGGTATTTGAGGTACACTTAGTTTTGGGATGTCATAACCCTCTCAACTCTTTATTGCACATTTTCAATATGACTTCAGCAGTTTTAAATTTTTTTTTTGCCTCATCTGTACTTTTACTCTTCTTTACTTGCCTTCTAATAGTTTCAACCTCTTCTAGTGGGTTGGAGTGAATCTGCAGGTGTGGGTATAGGTTCTGGAGAGGTTGCAACATTAGATGGAAAGAAGGGCTCTAAGGTTGGTCCATTAGGGCTGTTTGGCCAGGGAGGGGGTGGAAAATGCACTCCATGTGGGCTACTGAATTGTCTTCTAAAAGCTAACTTGCTTAGACTACAACTTTTTGAGACAATATTTGGACTCGGACTTATCAATAGGGGTTACAAGCAAGTCATCAGCCCACTGTTTGAAAGTTTTCTTTATCTTTTTATTCTTTTAGAAAATTTTATGTGTGTGTGTGTTTAATATCTGCAGGCTACTGGTTTGTGCAAGAATAATGCAGAACATAATCTGTTAAACACAGTACTACGTGAAAAGCACGAAAAATCTATACTTGTAAGTACATTATATTGTATATATATGCTAGTTTTTACAGTCATTAATTGTGTTCAGTCATTGTGTTTAGTGTTCAATTTTTTGAGTTTACAGCCATTGTTCAATTCTGTGGGTTAAGTGTTCAGTTTTTTTTTTTCAATAAAATGCATTTTATTAAATAATCAAAGAATACAAACGTCTGAACAAGCGGGAACAGGCTCCTCACTTGTATAAAAAGTAAGCAACAACCAAAAAACTATAATGTGAAGCGCTTATCGGATATTGGAAGATAGACTTAAGTGCAATTACAAAGCCGGCTCAAAACATTCCACTTAGATCTAGGAATAAAATCATTCCCGGAGCCTCAACCCCCGCAAGGGTAAGACCTAAGGTCAGATAATCCGATCAAGAAAAAATGTTCTAAGCCAAGAAATGCAATCGACATAAGTCCAGTCTAAAATCCAAAAAGCCCAACTAAAGAATGAATAAAATAATATGTGCAAAAATAATCCAAGTGAGCCAAGTAGAGCCCAAAACTGGAAAAGCCCAAAGCATGAAGGAAGGCATGTGTGCTAGCCCAAATTCGCATCTGAAACCCGACCTGAGGAGGCCCAAACCATTAGCCC